TGTCTGACATGTTTAGTGTGGATTTTCCCCCCCATTATTTTCTCTGTTAAATATGGTTTTGGAGCCCATGGATCTAAGTGCTGACTGATCAGTTTGTATTGTCTTTAATATTTTCAGAATACATGATGTTTATATATGTTTGGTCAATTTTGTTGATCCGTTCCCTAGTACAGTCAAGCACTAGGAAACACATCAGCTTCTTCTCCTGTTGTACTGTCTGTGAAGAGCTTTGTCTGTGAAAGGTACTGTAGCAGTAGGAGTAAGCGTTAATTAAATGAGTCTGAATCCTTTTTCAACTGTGTGGCTTTTTTGTAAGTTGCCGAAAGCCTCACATTTATTGTTTACCATCCTTAGAACATTGTAATGCCTTTTTTTCTTATAGGATTACATATGAAAAAAAATACATAAAGTACTTGGCACACAGTGTCTGTTAATGGTGACTCTGCTTATTATTTTGTTTTTGCTGTTTCCAAGTATATTCTGATTAATAGTCAACCAAGCAATCAAGCAGTCAGCATATACTGTAAGTAGTCTACCCAGTGATGTGCTGATGATGATAATCATGATCGTATGTCTGTCGTCATCTAATAAAGCCAGTGAACTTTGCTGATGAGAGATTTAAGGGCAGAGTGTTAATTATTTAACACATATGGTTCAGAAAGGGGACTTTTGTGTGAAAGACCTGGCTGTCCTCCACAAGTGGCATTGATATAAGTGTTAAACGAACCAAATGGATGGGCAGTTTTTGTTTTTGTTTTTCTTTAAATTTTATTTATTATTTTTGTCTTATGTGTATGTGTGTATTGCCTGCATGTAGGTAAGTGCACCCATGTCATGCAGTGCCCGCGGAGGTCAGAAGAGGCTGTCGGATCCCCTGGGAATGGAGTTACAGACAGTTGTTAGCTACCATGTGGGTGCTGGGATTTGAACCTGGGTGTTCCATAAGAACAACCAGTGTTTTAACCACTGAGCCATCTCTCCAGCCCCTGGGTGGGCAGTTTTAGGGTGATGCTTGCTGTTTGAGGAAAGGAATCATATCTTGGTCATCTTTGGATCTTAAGATGAGGCAGAGAGGCCTGACACATAGTGGGTGATTCATAACTAAAGACATGTGGCCTAGGTGTCTGCACATAAACCCACTTAGGAAGGGCAGACTAGGGCAAACAATAACAGTGAAAAATAAGACAAAACAAAAGTCTGTTAGTGAAGGAAAGCCCAGGGACTGGAAGCCTATAGGTTATTGTTTAAGCAGTGTAAGGGACTTCATAGATGTGGGTTCGTGGATTGAAGGAGATTGGCAACGCACCCTCTGTGGCATGGTAAATCAAAGGGACAACCTTTATTCTTTGCTTAACAGTAACATTCTCGCTTTAACATTAGTATAAATACGTGGTGCTATAAGGACTGCTAACACACATGTGCATACATGTGTGCACACACGCAAACATATACCTTTTAAAAATATTATTTTGATTGTGTACTTTCTTTTTGACTATTTCTTGTTATATATGATAGGGTAAGAAATGTTAAAATGGCACAAAATTTATATAAAGCATCATCAGGAGAGATGACATTATGTAGTGGTGGGAGATTGCCATGGGTACATGTGCTCTGAGTGACTTCCTTTGGCATACTTCACTCATGTATTTGGGGGTGATCTGTTGTACTAAAATGCATTTTCCTAACACCTATTGTTACTTTGGCCAATATTATTTTCCTGTTGTACATGACAAAAAGAGAACAAGTATTATATCATCCACAGAACTTTTACATATGCATTTAAGACTTTGTTATGAGCTTTTTACCAGGCAAAATCTCTTTTGAAATGTTACAAAAATAATTTTCTTTGGTGTATATTATCATTAAAATTTATTATTCCTTTTGCTTAAATTTTATAATGAAATGTTTTATTTCTTCTATTTTTTACAGTATCTTGATATTAATCTTTTGATTTTAGTGCCATTTATCTAGAAATTCATAATACTTTTCTTTCTATCTAAAACACATTTTTATTGGTTTTACTAGCATGTGCAGCTCTGCCAGAGTTAGTGGATGATTAAATCACTTTCGCTCAGCAAATAAGCATTAATGTTTCCACACCAGTTTTAAATGTCTGAAGTATACAGAACTGTGTCTCATCTAGTTAAAAAAATCATATTTCAAAATATAGGGGCTTATGGATGATGCTGTTTATCTTTGTAGAGGTTTTAAAGTAATTATATAGGAGATGTAGTAAGACTAACTTTAATACTAAACGTGATTGCAAAGTAGTTCAGGAACAAATGGGTGTTTAAAATGAAGAAAATGATTTATAGATTATTTTATTTATATTCTGTGTATCATCTTTGTCTTAAATGTTCATACTGTATTGCCTTAGTCCTTAGATTTTAGGTTGTGGCCATACTTTTAAGTAATATACAATATTTTTATGTAGACATACTATAACCAATGAGAACAGTGATGAATAAAATGATAGAACTATTTAGTGTTATTTTCCTAATTTCAACACAAACATCAGAGAGAGATTTATTTTTTTCAATATGATTTGTTTTTTTACTGATTGCTTTTATTTCACCTATATAAGAAAATGAGAAATTATATGGATAGAGAATATATATTATTCTTGTTCAATCTAGCTAGAATTATGAGTTATAATTTTTTCTTACCCATACCTGAAGGAAGCCAGAGGTACCTGCTGGCCTTATTTGGCTTTTCTTCTTTAATCTACCCATAACCATACTCAATATGTGTAACTTTCTCATGTAACTTGCTGTCATATGAGTACTTTAAAATTTTTTTTCTTCATTTTTAAAATGTGCTCTGCTGCACCCAGCTTTTTGTGTGTGGGGATTAAACTTGGGTCCTCATACTTGTGTAGCAAGCAGTTTACCAGCTGAGCCATCTCCTCAGGCCCCTTGTTTTCTGTGTGAAAGATTATGTTTATTTGTATTTTGAGTGTTTTGCCTGCATGTATGTAAGTGCACCATATGCATGCAGTATCCACAGAGGCCAGAAGAGGGCGTTGAATCTCCTGGGACTGAAGTTACAGATGGTTGTTAGCCCCCATGTGGGTGCTGGGAACCAAACCCAGGTCCTCTGCAATAAAAGCAAGTGCTCTTAACCTTTGAGCCACCTGTTTAGCCCCTTTCCCAAAGTTTATGCACACCATAGAAGCGAGTGTGCTAGCTTTGTTTAATAAGTATTGTTTCAGTTTATCTAGCACCAGGGTACTATAGAGGCAAAG